GATTCCGGGACAAAGCGGTGAACTGCAGAGATCCACTCACAGAGGAATTTATTCTGCAAACATGTCACAATAACTTGTCGCTGGATGTATTAGAGGTCATGGGAGTTGTGCCCTCTAAAACTTGGAAAGAGTTGAAAGTGAGAGGTGAACAGGCTGAACGCTTTCTCAAGAGAAAGAATTTGGAGAGAGGTCTGCCACCAGCTAATAACCAAAAACAAAACTTTAATCCTCGAGGCCGAGGAAGAGGGTCCACGGCAGCTGTCGATGCTCATCAAACATCACAACAATCGCAGCAACAACCGCAACAATCGTCTTTCCAACTGGCGCCAAAGCAAAATCAACAACCTCCGAGGCAACCCAAGACTTCGGAGCCCAGATTCCCGAAAGAATACTCTTTCAAAGATGATGAAGTTCCGGTCATCTTCAAATACTTGTTAGAGAACAACAAGATCAAGCTTCCACCGGTCACAAACCAAGAATAAGCAACGAAGATCAATGACCCAAAGTATTGTGCATATCACAGAAGGGTCCACCATCCCACTAAGGCGTGTTATGTCTTAAAAGACAAAATACAAACCTTAATCGATGTTGGCATCGTGACACCGAAGCCGAAAGAGAAGAAAGTAGGGGCGAATGCGGTGTCTATCAACTTCGGATCAGTTCCTTTATCCTGGTTTCAAGCCGAACCGGTATCAAAGGTTAAGATGCAAACCATCAACGATGATCCTCATGGACAGCGCCAAAAGGGGCTTGTATCTCACACAACCCCCAACAGTGAAATCCTTTGGGTTCATTCGGATTTGCTTAAAGATGAGCAATGGACGACATCCACGTCGAAGAAGAAAGTGAAAGGCAAAGGAAAAGAGAAAACTTGTTACGGAGCCTCGGCAATTCCTGAGAAAGATGATGAAGAAATCTCAGCTTTATCACTTTCTGAGGGGGAACAGGAAGTTTTCGCTCTAACCCAAATGCTACAACTTTGAAAGAGTTGGGGATAGTTACAACTCCTCCAGTAGCTGCTGAAAAGCCGCAACAACCGGCTAAGCAAAAAGAGAAAGAACCCCAACATAAAGAGGTCCAGGTTCCGAAGCAGTCTCGTTTCAACCGACCAATTGGACGAGATAAACCGGAAAGCTCAAACGCTCCCTACCGTTTTGACGTCATGGCTCAGTTAGCTAATATCCCAGCAAGGATCACGTTATACGAGTTATTACGTCTCTCAAAGGATACCAGAGAAGCTCTACAAGAAGCGTTAGCTGATTCTGAAGTATTCCTCACCCAAATTAAGCCAACTCCTGAAGAGCCAGAGTCGTCAGTTCAGCACTGTAACTTGGCAGCTACGAGATTCCCTTGCATAGCTTTTACCAAAGAAGATATGCAAGTTAAAAATTCGAAACATGATAGGCCTCTATATTTCACCGGATATATTGGCTCAAGCGTTGTCAACCGGATCCAAGTTGATCCGGGTTTCGCTGTTAGCATCATGCTACTTCGGTTGATGTACCACCTCGGAATCCCCGCCAACAAACTAGCCTCCACAGGAACCATTATCTACGGGTTTAACACAAGCGGGTCAAGGCCGTTGGGGAAAATCTGAGTGAAGTGTCAACTTGGAGACCTGAAATCTGAAGTCACCTGCTATGTGATTGATGCAGAGACTTCCTATAACTTACTGTTGGGTCGCCCATGGATTCACAGTAATCTTATAGTTCCCTCCACCCTCCATCAGTGTTTGAAATATGTTGACACTAATGAGGAGGTCAAGACGGTGGCCGCGGATAAGCAACCATTCAAGGGGTTAGAAAATTACTTTACTGACTCTCTTCTTTATGGTGCTGAGTCCGATACTGAACCATCGGCCCATGGCACGGACAGCAGAGAAGAAGCCGATACCGAAGCCGGGCTCGATTATAGTGAAGGTCTTGTACTAAATGACATTGAACCTCTTGTAATCGATCTTGATGGTGATGAATCGTCGGACGAAAGTTGTAACTGGCAACTTGCCGATAAAATAATAAATGATAAGTTAGAGTACTCGTCTTATCTTGATGATGTAATGCAAAAATTGTATGACGACCCTAGTCTACATATGCCACTTCGTTCATCTTGTACGACGACGAAACACCTCCAAACTTCATTCGGAACAACTGTAATACTACCTGCGAAGACAGGGGTCGAAAAAGAGATAGTCTTTGGAAAAGGGGAACCATCCCCTACTCCAGATCTTTTCTTGGACATTAATTCGGACGAAGAAAAACCCGGGCGACATTTCTCTCGGTATAGTTCACAAGCGAATGGTTATATGACAAAGCAAGGTTATGACCTCTCGCTCGGTGAAGGTCTTTATTTTGGTCAAGGCGTCAGGGTTCCATCCCGTCCCGCCTATGTACCAAAAGGAAGACCAGATAATTATTATAGTCATAACAGGGGTCTAGGTTATGCTTCATCATCTGATGACGAATACGGCCAACAGATTATTAGCCAACTAATAAATAAGAGTGGACATTCATCCGATGCTTCAACTTGGGATTCTGACGTGAGCGTTGGGGAAAGGTTCAAAACTCTCATGTCAAACATGGCAACGGTTGATCCTTCCACAACAGAAGAAGACGATCAATTGCCCACTTGGGAAGATCCTTGGACACATTACATGAATATCCAATACGGTGATCGATTTGAGCAAAGAGAACCTCCTACAGAGGATAAAGTAGTCCAAATTGATATGGGTGACGAAGCTAACCCAAAGCCTATATTTATCAGCGGTGATCTTCCAACGGATCAAAAAGAGGAACTAATCGCCCTCATTCGAGAATATATCGACGTATTCGCTTGGAATTATGAAGATATGCCGGGACTAGATCCAGAGGTAGCAATGCACAGCCTTAATATTAAACCGGATGTTAAACCCGTCAAACAACAACAGAGACGGTTTCGTCCACAAATTATGGAGGTAATAGAAACTGAAGTCAAGAAACTAATTGATTCGGGTTTTGTCAGAGAAGAACAACATCCTGAATGGTTGGCCAATATTGTTCCAGTTCTTAAAAAGAACGGAAAGATCAGAATCTGCATTGACTTTAGAGATCTAAACACCGCATGTCCTAAAGACGACTTCCCCTTACCGATCACGGACGTCATCATTGACAACACTTGTGGGTTCGAGAGAATGTCATTTATGGATGGATTTTCGGGTATAATCAGATTAAGATGCATCCAGACGATGAAAAGCATACATCATTCAGAACACCCCTTAGCGTCTTCTGTTACACTGTCATGCCTTTTGGTTTGAAGAACGCTGGTGCCACATACCAACGTGCGATGACGAAGATATTTCAAGAACACCTTCGGAAGACCGTCGAATGCTATGTTGATGACCTGGTTGTTAAGAGCCGTGATAAAAACGATCACGTTAACGATCTGAAGACGATGTTCAAACTTATGAGGACTCATCAGTTAAAGACGAACCCAACTAAGTCTTTCCTTGGAATGTCCAGCGGTAAATTTCTTGGATTCGTCGTCACCACAAAAGGTATTCATATCGATCCTAATAAAGTAAAGGCGATACATGAATTACAACCACCGAGGAATCTTAAAGAACTCAGAGGGTTATAAGGTCGATTGGCATATATCCGTCGGTTTATATCAAATCTGTCTGGAAAATGTCAACTAATCTCTAAACTCGCAAAGAAAGGCGTGTCGTTCGTTTGGGATGAAGCATGCCAAAAGGCGTTCGAAGATATTAAGAAATATCTGGCGAATCCACCTATTCTCGTTGCACCAAAATCGAGCAGACTGTTTTTGATTTATGTCAAAGCGACGAGCCATTCGTTAAGTGCATTACTCACACAAGACGACGATAACGGTCACGAACAAGCTGTGTATTATCTGATTCGTACACTGGTTGGAGCTGAATCTCGTTATCTAATGATCGAGAAAGAATGCCTCGCCTTGGTATTCACGATTCAGAAAATACGACATTATTTGGTTGGACAGACAATCTATGTCATTTCCAACATAAATCTCATCTGAGTATTCATGACCCAACCGGCCTCTATGAATTGGCATCTAGCCAGGTGGGCTCTACTTCTATCGCAATATGATTTGTACTTCAAACAACAAAAATCAGTTAAAGGAAGAGCTATTTGCGATCTTTTAGCGGAAAATCCTACAAAAGATGTAGTTGAGTTGTACGACAACCTGTCGGACGAAACTCACGAAGTTAATACCACCTCACATTAACAAGTGTGGTAATTATACTTCGACGGGGCTTCCCGAGCAACCAATGTGGCGAGCGCACCCGGATGTTCTAAAATCTCCTCAGGAGTGGGGGTCGTTTTAGTTTCCCCAGGAAAGCATGTCTTACCTAGAGCATACTCGTTGACCAAACCATGCTCTAATAACGTAGCCGAGTACAATGCATTGATAATTGGACTCAATTTTACCATTTGGAGATTCTCAACTGGTAGTTAATCAAATACGAGGAGAGTATGAAGTCAGAAATCGAGACCTGATTCCATACCACCAGGTGGCCATCGAGATGGCAAGCTCATTTGAAGAATTTTTCATCGAGTACGTTCCACGTCTCCAAAACGCGTATGCAGACGCATTGGCGGCGTTGTCGGTATCCTTGGCTCAACCTCCCGAGACAGAACAATTGATTACAGTGAGGACTCACCAGCTTATTGTTCCAATCTACGATTCAAATGCTAAAGAAGCATACTCAACAGGAGTCGAACCCGAAGTTCGAGATTAGCGTTTTCCCATTATCGACTACGTCCTACATGGTATATTGCCTGAAGATGTAAGAGAAAGGGAATCGATTCGGCGAAGAGCGCCGAGGTTTTACTACAACGCCACAGCGCAAACGTTTTACTACAAGTCATTAGAGGAGGCACACGGTCCAACTCATTCATTTCTCGGATTTCTCTTCCAAAGGGGGAAAGACCAGTACCTGTGTCTGTAGCCGATGGATTCTCTTCCAAAGGGGGAAAGACCAGTACCTGTGTCTGTAGCCGATGGATCAATGTCAGGAGTTGGTGGAGCACCAGCTGGTCCTTCTTTCAGAGCATCCTGCATTTGTTGGACGAAGTTGGTCTCCTCAGTCTCCATACCTCCGGGAGAAGCAGCATCAGCTGGCAATTCTCCTTCTTCTCGACTCCCTATAGAAGTTTGAGCGGGAAATAAGTTTGAGCATTAAGAAGTGTGAGAGCGATAAAGACAAATAGTTACCTTGTTCTTCTGAAGAAGCGCTACGGGCAGACGTTTCCTCTAAAGCGGGGAGACGAACATGTGACTTAGAAGCGGCTTTCTTTCGTCTTTTTAGGGGACGTGACTCGTCTTGAACCCCGGATCCTTCATGGTGATATTTAGTGCGCAGTTCAACTCTGGGAGAAACTTGAGTTTGAGCTTGAGTGGAAGATTGAGATCTTTGCCTACGAGCAAGAGGCACTGTATCCTCTTCATCCTCTTCGTCTCCGCTGAGTGTTAGACCCTAGAGGGGGGGGGGATAGGTCATGACGACTCTCTCTCGTTTCCTCTAAAGCGGGGAGACGAACATGTGACTTAGAAGCGGCTTTCTTTCGTCTTTTTAGGGGACGTGACTCGTCTTGAACCCCGGATCCTTCATGGTGATATTTAGTGCGCAGTTCAACTCTGGGAGAAACTTGAGTTTGAGCTTGAGTGGAAGATTGAGATCTTTGCCTACGAGCAAGAGGCACTGTATCCTCTTCATCCTCTTCGTCTCCGCTGAGTGTTAGACCCTAGAGGGGGGGGGGGTGATTAGGGTCTTATGCTAATCTAATCTGATTAAATGCCAATTAAAATTAATTAATAAATTATTCTTGCAAGAGAGATCTACAATATGTTACATGCAAGAATAAGCAATATGAACAAAGGTAAATATCCTAGCAAAGAGATATACTATGAGATATACGCAAGGATATATAAACTAATACAAGAGTAAACAAGATGAATGATATAGTGGATGAAGTAAACAATGAGAGAAAGGCTATAAAGATGAACAAATATAAGTGCTAAGCCAAACTCAAACAAGCAATATGATCACGGAGTTCGGACCTTCCGTCCTACGTCTCCGCTCCCCACTCCCGGGGAGAAATCCACTATCACAACCGGGTTTTCTACGTTCACCCGAACAACGTTTACACCTCACACTCGGTTTTCTAGCTAACCGAAAACTTTACAATCAACACTCTTGCAATCCCACTCTACACACCCACTAAGTGTTGAACTAGACGTGTCTCCCTCAAGTGCTCGGATACAACCTCTCCCTAGGTTCGTCAACCGACGCCACTCCTCTTGGGATGATCCCCCTGGGGACGATCCCCGACTCTCGTCACACACTTCTCTCTTGGTGTACAAGTGTATTACAAAGTGAATCTCACAATAAGCACAATATAACAAATGATTGTTCTCTCTAACAAGGTGAGAACTCAATTAGGCTCAACTCAATGTCACACAATCCCACAACCCAATTATATAATGTATGCAAATACAATAAGCTCAATGGTTGTGTGTGTAAACAAAGAGTAAATCAAATCAAACTAAACTCAAATAAATTCTAGCTTAATAAAATGATAATCAAACAATTATATATAAATGTAAAGCTAGATTGAGTTTAGAAACACTTCTCTAAAGATGACAAGAGAGAGAGAGGGAGAAGAGTTGAATGCCCAAACACCAAAGAATGATCTCCTCAAGCTCTTGTGAAAGTTTCTTCATAAACAAACTCTTGAAACAAACTTAAAAACCCTTAAACAAACTTAAAAACCCTTAAACAAACTTGTAAAACTCTTTTTAAAACTATCTTAAACATCCATAAGAAACAATGAAAGTTGAGGGCTTTTTATAGCCTCTTAACCCAGCCACAAACTCCCAAAAACCGAAAATATCAAAAACTAGCCG